GGAATGCCTGTTTGGATCAGAGGGGTTAAGGCTGCATTTTTTATTGGATCTCAGAAAGATCTCTATTTTCTAGGTTGAGAGAGATAGAAGAGAGGTTACATGGCTTAAAGGCATCCACCATATCAAAACCACCTGTCTTAAAATTTAAGGTATGTATGGTTAAGAGGTTTTTACTGAATGTTCTACTTGCTGTAAAAATAGACCTGCAATACGAGTTATTCTACTTTTTTTTTCCCCATATCCCTAGAGTTGATGTTGGTGGAATCATTTTAATGTATTGGCTGAAGTGTGTGGATAAACATATTACTGTATTCATATTTTCACTATTCATTACAAATATTTATGTTTATCTGTAGAACAACCTATAGATTGTTAATATATTACACACACAACTATGTGGGAAGGTAAAAGCTGTTTGGCAAATTAAATTAGTCACGTACCTTAAACAATTTCACTTCTACTTTATTGACTAATCCATTTCCCTTGGGGACTACTTCTAAGATGTCACATCTCTGAGCAAATCTGATTGAATTTCCTCCAGCAGTTGGTTTTCCTTCCAAATTACTCTGGTCTGACAGTTAGCACAATTAACTTTTAGTCTCATGAAATAGATTGCTTCCTAATCAGCTGAATAAATTGCTAGAATTTCTTATCATTGGGAAAAGGCATTTTCTGCCTTCTTGGTGGGATGTGCAACACCTTCTAGTCACTCGACTGTATCCTGAAATATTAAACTATAAAAATGTGACATGATAGATGAGAACAAAATAGATTCTTGTTTCTTAACTTGCCATTTTTCTTTCCTTCTGAGTTCAGAAGGAGTCTCAAAAGCCAAGGTCAATCTCAAGCCATAAAAAAAAGAGGAAACTAACCATAATTCAATTTGTCTTGGCCTTCTCCTTTTCATCACTGCTTAAAAGCATGTATTGCACTGTAATCTCTGCCATCAAGGAAGCTGGAGGCAGGCTGATACTCCTCCAGCTCTGTGAAAGTTTATTCTTCACTCAGTTGTGTTTAAACTGAAGATTTTTTTGAACAGATGCTTCTTGGAGAGAGCAAGAAAGGAGGAGAAAAGAAAGGGGGGAGAAAAGAAGACTGTATCTGTCTGAACTACTGCTAGATAATTTTCTATTGCAAGTGCATCCTTTTTCCTCCTGAAAGGAAGATGTTTTGGTTCTGTGAAGCTTTAGACTAGTGACTCCCATTGCTTGAGTATCATGCCTGAGACAGAGCTCCAGGGGAAGAGAGAGGCTTCCCATGAACATGATGGCC